TACTTGTGCATGCTCACATCGTCCAGTGGTATCTGGGGTGCCTTTAGGTAGGATCGCAACCTACTTGACACATTGTACTGAGCCTCCAACAGCAGAAGCACTAGAAAAGTGGCGAGAAATGGCTTAGCTGATCCAACCTGTCTTCCAGCCGGCCTCCAGGGAATAAAAGTTTTACCCTTCCTGGTACCTTCATCGTTTTTGTCTGCGTTGTCCGTGTCGGGCGCCGCTGCGTCGCCTCTAGCCTGTTGCGGGTTCAACTCCTCCAACAACGGAGGACCTGAGTCACGCCACTGACCCACCATTATCCAATGCAATAAGGGATGGATGGTGGAGGAGCATATATTGGGCTTTCGAGGGGATGTTGCGCTAAGCTCTGGAGAAACATAGCAGAGCGATATCCCAGAGACACACGACAGAGCGGCAGCGTCGTTGGTTGGCAAATTGACGATGACGCTTGAATCAGAGGTCGGCTTCAAATTAAATTCATAAAAACAAAAATTAAATTAAAGTTCATGGGCAAATATTTCATACCGGCAGCCAAAGTTCAGCGTAGAATGTCTGCCGTCAATGAAATTTGTGCACACTGGAGACTGCCGATCGGGCAGAGACTGCTGTGACTTGGCGCGAATCTCCAGAACGGATGGGCCCTAAAAGGTAATATTTGAGAGTTCTTTTTGCATATTTTAGGATTTAGACGCAGTTTTTTGTTCTCTGACTTCCTTCACTAGTGTCTGCGGTGTGTGTTGCAGCGTGCAACATCGCGTGCCGGATCCTTCCGCGCCGCAGTTGTATAGCACCGAAGGGGAAGTCCCACACCAATACACACCTGTGCTTTGCAGATGCGAAATAACTTTGCTGAAATGTAATTCAAACGGCCGAAGTATTCCAGAATTCTACGCAATTGTGTCTGGGACTGCATTTGGTGGATCAACCGCGGGAAATTCCGCGAAGGGCAAAGGAGCGCCTGTCTAGGAGGGATACGTAAAGCCAGTAGTGGTATGCATTACTATGAGACCGGGCTTTATTTCTATTCTGCACTCGAGTTTTCTTCCATGTCAAGAAAGAGAAGACTTGTTTTCACAATCGTCGGGCGCGCGCCCTTCTGTTGGGCACACATAACATAAAAAACCTGTTGAGCGCAAGACTGCTGTCAAGTCTGCTGCTACAACAGCAAATGCAGCCGGCCCGTGCACCACAGATGCGGAATACTGTCGCGCTAAAGGCGGTGTCGCGAGACAGAACGCACACAAACAAGCAGAGACTCTACAAAAGGAATAATGCATTAATTACGAGATCGTCGTTTGGCATGCCTTCCCTTAGGAGCACTCGCATTTGTTCTCTCTTATTGTTCAACTGCCTTTGGAAATTGTAGGCATTTTCTTTTTCTTGCTGCCTCATGGCTTTGAGTACTCGTTTGGGCGTCCAGTTATCCGCAATTCGATGCAACTTTCGAACGTTTGCGTAATTTGTAGTGCTATCGGACTCACGGAATATACGCGCCGCTGCGTGTGCAAGGGCTCCAGTTTGAAAGGACTTGCCAGTATATGGAATTTGATAACTGGCTGTGGAACGATAGGTGTGGAAGGCGTCGTTTCCTCCGAAAGGTTGAAGAAAAGGCTCGAAATAACATCGAGCAACCAAATTGTACAAATTATGTTTGTTATCAACAAGCAAGTGATATATGAGTTCTTTGGCTACCGTTCCATCCACTGCCTGCGTGCGTTCGCCGCCAACCAGCTCGAGGGAGCCCAAAAAATCAACCGCCCGCATCCCAAACCCGAAGCTGTCGCTAGCATCTTCAAGACCAGGATGTCTAGAGGGCTGGTCGTAGCCAGGAAACGAGATAGGCAAGCCAAATTCCTGGCTCACATGTGCTAACCACTTCAACTCCTCTAGCCGAAGCGTGACGGCGCGGCAAAGACTCCGTAGAAGGTGCAGGTGTTGAGCGAAGTCCTTCCTCGCCTCAACAGAAGAGTCAGATGGAATTTTGCATTCTCGCATTCTGGAGACGTGGTCGTTGATAGTTGCCAGCGGATCTTCAGAGGGCACTTGAGCGTCGTTAAGCGATGGTGTGAAGTGTATCTGAAAAGCTCGTCGCACTGGTGGTTTTGACGATTGCCAGGCGTCTTTCATCTCTTCCGCTGCCTTATTAAAATCATCCAAGTACTTCTGTATGCTGCCATCATCCAGATATAGCGGTGTCCAGTCTTCCTGGGAGTTCGATTCACGACAGTTCAATTTGTGTGAACACAATCTTTGGGTGCTCCACCTGCTGGACGCTCGGAAAAGAACCCCCGACACCAGTAGCAGGAGAAAAGCGGCAAGCAATGGCTTAGCAGGTGCAACCTTCTGCCCACTAANCTTCAACGAAGAGAAAACTCCACCGCCCTTGGCAACTTCGTCGCGTGCGTTGTCTGGGCCGGGCTGAGCTGCGTCAACATCCCCGTGGTGCGGGTTCAACTCCTCCAACAACGGAGGGCCTGCGTTGCGTAACTGATCCCCCATTATCTGCTACAATAATGGATGAAAGGCCATGGAGCATATGGTCGCCATTCGGCGGCTGATGCACAGAACGAAGGAACATTGCATAACGATCTTGAGACGCAAACGTGAACGCCGAAAGCTCCAGCTGGCAGGTCCAGCGAGGTTCGAATGACGATTATCCGTTAAGACACACTAGTAAATCAAAAAAATTGAATTATTTCCGTGCATGCACTGTATACAGGCTGCCAAATTTCGGGGCTGAGTTGCTGCAATTAGTAAATTCCCCAGACACTAGAGACCGCGGATCGGGCAACGATCGCTGCGATCTGCCCCCAATTATTCTAACGGAGGGGTTTTCAAGGCAAACAAAGCATTTGAAAGTTTTTCCTGAAGTTCTTACGATCNAATTATTCTAACGGAGGGGTTTTCAAGGCAAACAAAGCATTTGAAAGTTTTTCCTGAAGTTCTTACGATCTAGTAAAATTTGTTTGCCCTCTGAATTCCTCCACTTGTTGCTGCGGTGCGTCGTGCAGGACTGTCGTTGCCAAGGTGATCGGTCCCCGGCTGACGTGCATTGACACCCAGGTGTGAGGCCTTTCTGCGGGAGAAGATTCTACTAGAAGGACTCTACACCTTGTGTCTGGGAACAGCACGTACGAAAATGTGATTTGAACCGTGAAGTTCTGAGCGTTATACGCTGTCGTGTCTGGACCTGCATTCGCTGGGTCGACCGGAATGCACACCGGCGCAGCGCAGCGCACCGAGAAGGGATGTGTAATGCCAGCAATGGGTTTGCTCTACCGCGTCTTATTTTTCATTGTCCACTACACTCTGTTATCTGGTTAAGGGACAAAACTTGTCTCGGTGACCTTTTTTTGTAGCGTTTAAGCTGCGCTCCAGTGTGGTCCGTAGAATGGTGTTTCATGCTCTTCCTGCAGTTAGCACAGGGAAATTCGTTTAGCCTTGATTGGTTGCCTGCAAGCAAATACGCGTGCTCTGTTAAGTGCTTACATAGGTAAAGCATACAGTAAAGAAAACCTCGTCTACGCTTCCCTGTGCTCACACGTGAGGCTGGCTTGCATCGCCAGCTGTAGTGCACTGGCACTACAATGATGACTCAGAGTCGGTCAGTGGGCAAACAATGACGAAAAGCCTCTAATTGCATGTAAAAGTGTGAATGGCGACAGTCAATAGTAGGCAAATTGATAGGATAGGGAACCCGCCTTCCCTACGGAGGCTAAGCCGTAAGTAAGAGGGACGGCAAGGACGCCGCGACCCGTACGCAGACCCCCCTTTACGGTTCTAGGGTCTGGCGGACGACCACCCTTGAGGGAGGGTGATCGGGTACGGTCAGAGGTTTCGGATCTCAATTAACCAATTTTCCTTTCAATATACGCCCACTAAAACTATTGACAACGTTACTTCTTCACTATAGTGCAGCAGACCAGCTCCGTTGTGTTATATGGTAGCTAGGTATAGGCCGTGTCAGCGGTGCGTGTTACGGCAGTGNGCAGACCAGCTCCGTTGTGTTATATGGTAGCTAGGTATAGGCCGTGTCAGCGGTGCGTGTTACGGCAGTGCACTACATTTGGGGGCCGTTCCGGGAAACTGGTAAGGCAAAAACTCACCCAAACTTCGGAAAAGGGGGCTAAACCTTACCAGAAAAAACAATAATTTCACCTACCCACAGGAGCTCTCACCCCAAAACACGAGGGGACGCGTGTGTCCGACCTTACCATGGGGATAAGCGATACTCGGAGATCGACGAACAAAGATGAGCAATTCAAGGAGCCCGTCAGTGGAGAGGGAAGGAACGCTCTCCGATACGAAAAAGACAGGCTCTCGGCGTGACAAGGAATCGGCTAAGAGAAGAAAGACGGAGTATCCTACGATCGGGAGTCAAGAACTGAACGACGCGAAATCCATTCCTGACTGGAGGGAGACGATGGTAGAGCTAGTCAAGGAACTAAAGGAAGACAGTCGTACTATGCAACGTTTCGCGGAACGCCAGACTAGCGACGGAATTCTGGCCGCATCCGACGGCCGGAACAACGCTACGCTAGACAGAATCAGGCAGAAGGATATCATCGCGGCTGAGGACGGGACAAACATGAGATCTTTCCTGAATCTAGTA